TGTGTGGACTTCAACTCCCAGAATTCCCCAGCCAGAATTCTGGGAGTTGAAGTCCACACATCTTCAAGTTGCCAAGGTTGAGAAACACTGATCTAGACTGACTGAATGTGTCCTGCAGTCCTTGGAGACTTGTTCTTTAAACCTGCTTCAGAAGTCTTCATTTGGGAATGGTCAATTATGTGATCAAAGCTTTGTCCCTTTGTACAAGCATATAACATTGATGCACATACAAAACGCATGGGGCTTCAATGGTACAGTCAACGGTGACATTTTGACTTTTTTGATCCTTACCCATGGAACACCATGTTTGTGTAAATACGAACTCTTCAACATACTTTTGAAGGCCATATGTTAAATAGGGCTAAATTAATGATAAATGTGGGAAGATTAAAGACCAATGCATAAGCTGATCTTCTGCTAAACACAAAAGGGTTTTTTCATTCCCCTTCCAAGCTCCCCCCGCCCTTTCTGTGCTTCTTTGTGTGTGTGTGGTGCGTGCACTTAGTTATTCAAGGCACCTGATCCGCCGTCCTCAGAAAATCGCCGCTCTAGCCTGCTTCCACTCAAGGAAAAGACAGGCCTCTAATGCACGGTTTGTAATTTGAATCACGGCCCCCCTCCGCTCTCCCCTCCTTTCGCCCGCAAAATGACATGTCATGCCTCTTGTTTATCGGCGCCTCCACAAAGAGTTCCGCGCACAAAGCAATCCGACTCTAGGTCTCCTTCCTTCCCCCCATATCCATGCTGGCTTCTTGCAAATTTGGAAGCAATTCCATCAGATGCACCGGCCACGCCAGAGCGAGCCAAGGGAATAAACTGTCCTGAACAATCCAGTAAAGATTCTCCTTTGGATCGCAGCCTGCAAATGGTGAAAAAAGGAAAGCAAAGCAAAGCAAAGCCGTGGCTGATACACTAGGCCATCCTCATCGGCGGGGTTACACATAAAGTTCTGAAATTATTTTACTTCGTATTAGGGACAAAAAGACAGGAGGCGGGAAGGGCAGAACCAGTAATCCATTAGCCTGAAATGCAAATCGGAAGAGAACAGGGGTTATGTCTACTGAAGTC